TCAGAAATTCATAAAACTAAAAATCCAAGAAAGGAGCCAGTAATACAGCTCTCCTTGGGTACCTACACACAAATGATGAGATATGTGTAACAAACAAGATAAACCAAAGATCCTAATACAAGGAGACAAATTTGACAGATACATAGTAACAAGGATATGGTTCTGGGGCAGCTAGGTGGCACAGTGCATAGAGCTGCGCCCTGAAGTCAGGAGGACCTGAGTTCAAATGTGGTCTAAGACCAAATACTTGACACTTACTAGCTGTGTGACCCTGGGCAAGTCACTTAACTCCAATTGCCTAAACAAACAAACAAACAAACAAAAAAACCAAGGAAATGGTTCTGATAGGATATGCTTTATTTCAAGATGGGCAAAAGGAGGGGTGAAGTGTCATTTTATAATAATGAAATATACTCAAATAAGGAAATCCAAGAACCTGATAGAGTGAAGCAAGATGGAGATCATTTGGGTGAAACACAAGGAGGTAAACAGGAGATATTATAATCAGGGTATACTATATTTAAGTAATGTCAAACTCAAAAAGAAATGAAGGCACTAAACTGTAAATCAGGATCCCCACAGGCATATGCTGACATTATCTATGGGTTTTTTTTAAATTTTTGTTAAAGATTTCCCAATTATGTTTTAATCTGGTTCAGGCAGTGTGTGTTTGACACCTCTGCTATAGACCATGTTAACAGAAAGAAGAAATAGATGAATTCAGGAAACAGATCAAAAGCCTGGTACTAGAGGTGTACAGTAGGGATGTAAGACTTCAGGTATCCAAATATGTTCTGAAACATTCTGTCTGCCATGAGCAGGACTGCTAATCAATTTAAAATTGCAATCCTAGGTGACTGGAAGGATGGAGAAATAGGGAAATTAGAAAGAAGATTAGGTGGGGGGGGGGAGATGAGTTCTTTTTTGAATTTGTGGAGCTTGAGATGCATATGGATTACTAGGTGGAGATTTCTAGTAGGCAGTAGGACTTGGAGCTCAGGAGAAAGAGAAGAACTGGATGTTTAGATTTAGTAGGGTTCTACATAGAGATGATAGTTGAACTCATGGAAACTGATGAAGGCAGAGAGAGAGAACAGGATCCAGGACAGAGCCCAGATACCCCCATATAGGGAGCAGGGTGTTGATGATGATCTAGCAAAAGAAACTGACAGGTAGGAGGAGAACCAGGAGAAATCAGTGTCTTAACCCGGGGAGGAGAGAATCTGTAGGAAAGTGTGATCCATGTTACACGCTACAGAGAGAATAAGAAGGATGGAGACAGAAAAGGCCATTATTTTTAGCAATAGAGATTTATAGGCACACTTGGAGAGCATAATTTCAGTTGAATGGTAAGGTCAAAAGCCAGACTTCAAGCAATGGAGAAGGGAGTGGGAGATAAAGCTGTTACATAGTGGATAGCGATCTGGCTTTTGAACCAAGAAGACCTAGGCTCAATCCTGCCTCTACACATACTAGATGTATGACTTTAAGAAAATCATTTAACCCCTCAATGCTCTTGGCAACTTTGAGACAGTAAGCTGCAGAGAAGGTGCCAACTGGTATTAGTAAAGGGAGTCACCTCATCTGGAAGTTCCTTGTGTTAATTAAATCACAGATCCTGGTCTTATCCTAGGCTATGGAAAGAGAGCTAAGGATGATAGCTTGAGGAAATGGTTGGGGTGGGCTAAGGCTTGTTTTTTGGTTGGGGAAACCTAGATGTTTGTTGAAGCTTGGGGGAAAGGAGCCAGCAATGGATAAGGGAAGATTGAATAGATAAGAGAATTGAATGTCTGGAAGGGATTATGGAAGGAAGAACCAAATTCCTAGAAGTGACTGGAAGGTACTGGATCAGCTGCAGTAGTTGCATTTCCCTACCACACCTTCACCCTCCATTACACAGGATGAGTGAGGAGAGGGCTCCGTCTCCCAAAAAGATCAATTGAGATAACATTTGTAAAACACTTAGGGGTTAGCATGGTGCCCAGTACATGATAGGCCCTATCTAAATCTTTATTCTTCTCTCCTACTTCCACTTTTCCCTTAGAAATAGAAGCAAAGGAAGAGAAGGTGAAAGATGACACTGAAGAGCTTTTCAGTAAGAGGGAGCTCATAACAGATGCAGAAAGTTAGAAATATTACACTATAATTTCTTCCCATGCAACCTTTCTTCCAGAGAAAGACTTTAGGCTAAATTTGGTAGCTTTTTCAAAGCAAAAGATTGATAATTTAAAGATCACTTCACTTAACATTAATATTTCTATATACAAAAAGATTTTTTTTTGTTTATATGTTAGGTAATATGGAGTTAATGTGTGTCATGATTTTCCCCCTTAAATATGCCAGATTTTATTTATTAGCACCCCTTTCAAAAATGGAGCTCATTTGAAAAATTATGTAATTGCATTTCTTTAAAAATTATTAATTCAGGTGGCAGCTAGATGGCACAGTAGATAGAGCTCTGGCCTTGGAGTCAGGAGGACCTGAGTTCAAATCCAATGTCAGACACATGACATTTAACTAGCTATGTGACCCTGGGCAAGTCACTTAACCCTGATTGCCTCACCAAAAATAAATGAATGAATGAATAAATAAATAAATAAATAAATGAAATTATTAATTCAGGCATTTCCCTAAATCACATCGATCTACACCCTTCTCCATTACACAAGATGAGTGAGGTTCTATTGTATTTGAAGCAACTAAAGCTCAGTCAAAGAAAACAGTCAGAATCCTCATTAATTATAGCATTCTAATTTCACTGTGAGACAGTGAAAAAGGCTCTGAGCATGTGTCCATAGTCTGATGGTAGTAAAAACAACAGTGTTAGTCACCTATGAAAAAGCACCATGGTTAAATGTTCTCTTTTGACATTTCATATCTTTTTAAGATTGCCCTGGTAATTTAGACTCCATCCATTTGAGGAAATTCTGATGATGGACAAATTTGTGCTTGGGAATCCTTTGAATTCTTTTTTTTAAGCTATCATAATCTTATATTTCTTTTTCTTTTTCTTTTTTTTGTTCTTTTGGCAATTGGGTTTAAGTGACTTGCCCAGGGTCACACAGCTAGTAAGTGTCAAGTGTTTGGTCTGAGGTCACATTTGAACTCAGGTCCCCCTGACTTCAGGGTGGTGTTCTATCCACTGCACCACCTAGCTGCCCCTTTTTATTTTATATTTCTTTTTTTTAAGCTATCATAATCTTAAAAGCAGTTAGTATGTATGTGCATGATTAAGAATTCTGTCCCAACAAAATTTTATAGATCTCTTTTGAGCTGGGCTAGACTTTCAGTATGAAGAGAGGTTAAAATAGTATTAAATCATTGCAGGCAAAATAAGACATAGAGCATAGACGTTCCTCATTTGACAAGAAGAAGAAACATTTCTTTCAAATGAATGAGAAGATAATTTTTAAACAGATAAAATAATGTTTGCTGTTTCCCAGTGAATATTCACCTTTGAAATGTCAAAAGATATTAAGCTGCCTAAGTGAGAAAGATTGAGTATAAAGTTAGATATATTTACATTTGACATAGTATGCTGAATTGTTTTGCTATTATTATACTTTCTTGTATTTTTTCACTGTGTGAGAGGCACTGTAACATAGTGAATAGATGGCTATCTTAGATTTGGGATGCTTTGGATTCAAGTTCTTCCTCTGACATATACTAGTTGTGTGAGTCTGGGCAAATCTCTCAGGCAACTCTTAAGAATTAAATTACATTTGGTAGAGGGAATTTCTTCTCAGGAAGCTCCTTAACAATGATAAAATTATAAGACCTATCTGCCCACGGTATGACCATTGGAGTCTCTTTTTGCAAGAGTCATCTTTTTAAACTAGATTTCCCTGATAAGGTGTCAAATTTGAGCCGGCATTTTATTAATACAATCAATCATCAGCTTCCATGGGGGTAACATTCCCACAGAATGGTGCAAAAGTAAAAAACATGATTGTTCGTACATTGAATCTGTGGGAAATAGGGGATGAGGTCCCTGCAAATACCAAAAACTGTAATCTTTGGCTACCAGCCTCTCCCCAAACTTAGGTTCATCACAGCTCTCATTTTTTTCTCTGCTGCACATAGCAGTGACTGTGCATGGTGAAAGTTAAACTGAGGTTACTAGTAAAGTCACTTGAATATTTGAAGTAGCAAAAGTTAAACATGTGAATGTTGAGGATGGATTGTAATTTTATTTCCTTTTGCTTTGCACATTTTAACATGTTTTAGAATTATTACATGCACAAAAAAACCCTTTTTAAAAAATTGAGTGTATTAAATCAGTATTTGTGTTTTGGATGTGGGAGGTAGTTCAGCGTAGAGAATGGAGAAAGGTAGCTTGTCAAGGACCCATTTTCTGCCTGTCTGCAGTATTTCCCAGCAATAGTTCTCTCCATTCTTAAGATTGTTTCCAAGATTGGACCAGATGAACCAGTGATTTGTCCTTAACTGAAATTGTTTTAGTTCACTTGAGCCAGAATCTGATTAATAGTCGATAAAAAGGTGAGAGATCATCTGAAGAAATCAGGGACCTTGGCAACCTTCTATTAGGTGCCAGGAAAATGGCTCTTTGACATGAGACAAAAAAAGCTGCATACCTTTCTGATTAGCTTAAGGTCCTATGAATACCTAGTCACCATTATTACACTAATACCATGCTAATAAAGAGCGCAATCTTTCATTCAGATTTGGGAAGTCATAACCAGAGAGGGCTAGAATAGCTAATTTCCACTTTTCAACTATATTCCTTAGTGCACTAAAGAGTGAGTTGCTCAGCTCCCACAAGGCATTAAACTGTATCAGTAGGAAAGTGACTATCATAAGTGTTTATGTTCACGTGGTTGTATATTTCTATGATCTTTTGCTGAAAAATGCTTTAAGGCAAATAAACTACTTACCATTATTTTAAGTTATTTAAATAATTAAGTGCATCTGTCACTAGATTAAAAATTGTGGTCATTTCTCAACAGTGAAATGCTTTTTTGGTTCTTGTCTACCTTTAGCCTCCAAGAAGATGGAGCAGGAACCCCTTATGACAAGGAATCAACAGCAATTATAAAACTGAATAATACAACAGTTCTTTATTTAAAGGAGGTGACAAAATTTCTGGCCCTCGTTTGTTTTGTCAGAGAAGAAAGCTTTGAAAGAAAAGGTATTTTTATTTGTAAAGGTGGGAGGGGGGCATTTCAAAAATACCATTTAGAGCAGGAGTTCTTAACCTGGTATCTGTTAACTTGTTTTTGTGATATTTTGATAACTGTATTTTGATATAATTGGTTTCTTGTAATCTTATGTATTTCATTTTATGAATCTAAAACATTATTTTGAAAAGGAGCACTTAGGTTCATCCATGATTCAACAACAACAACAACAAAAAGATAGGAACCCTTGATTTTGAGGAATAATATTTTAATTTGCTCCATTGTGCATGGGGATAGTTCTAGTACCCTGCAGTTTGAATACACAGGTAAATAGGTCAAGAGAGCATGATCTGAGGGTGTCCCTTTCTCCTCTTCATCAGGTTGGGTTTCCAGTCAGGATTTCACTTGGGTCTAGTGGAACAGGCTGCAATATTGAAAGCTGAACCTATTCCTCTTCAGTGAGTACAGTGGACAGGTTTGCCCATCAGTGAAGGGATCTGCAGCAAAGCAGCCTTTGACATAGTTCATTATAGCTGCATTTTTAGTGATCATAAAGTCCTTGCTCTTTTCTGTGACTATTCTATTACCCTATGGAAGGACATGCAGTAGGTTGCAGTGGGTGACCATGTGATACCAGCCTGTTCTCCCAATATAAGGGGAGATGGTAAACCAGGACTCATGTATATTAAATAAGGGAGTCAATCATGTCAGTTAAATTATATTATTTTGACATAGCTTAGTGATGTCATTAGGATCAAAGGGGTTGAGGGGGAGAAAAGGAACTTAATGATAGAAAAATATGATAGTCTAATGTAAAACAAAATAAGTAAACCAAATAAAGATGCCTACTGTCTTTCTCGTCCTAAACCAGGGAATAATATTTCAACACAGTTCTTCCAATATTTTATACTTTTCAGATTGAGTGTATGGTTTGCATGTAGGCTTGTAGATTCAGAAGTTGAAGGAAACTTATAGATCATTTAGTCTGAAGATTTCTAACCTGGGGGTCCTCAGTTTGTTTTAAAAAAATAGTTTGATAACTGTATTTCAATATGATTAGTTTCCTTTGTATAATTTTATGTATTTTATTTTATGTATTTAAAATTATTATTCTGAGAAGGGCTATATTGGCTTTATGAGTCTTCCAAAAGAAGGAGAAACAAGCATTTATTATCTACTCTCTACGTATCTGCTATGTATACTACTATTAAGTATCTAGCTACCATATGGAGGCAGCTAGGTGGTGAAGTGGATAGAGTGCCAGGCCTGGAGTCAGGAAGACTCATTTTCATGAGTTCAAATCCAGCCACGGACCTGTTTGCCTCCTTGCAAAATGAGCTGGAGAAGGAAATGGCAAACCACTTCAGTATCTTTGCCAAGAAAAGCCCAAATGGAATAGCCACAAAGAGTTGGATGTGACTGAGCAACAAATATGCCAGAACTGTGATAAGTACTTTATGAATGTTTTCTCATTTAATCCTCACAGCAACCCTAGGAGGTAGGTGCTATTATTATCCTCATGTTATAGTTGAGGAAACAGAGGCAGAGAGAAAAGTTGTGACTTGCCCAAGGTCACCCAGCTATTAAGTATCTGAGGCTAGATTTGAATGCAGGTCTTCCTTACTCCAGGCTTACTGCAGTCCCCTGCTGCCATAAAATACATAAAGGTTAAGAACCCCTGACCCAAAACCCTCTTATTTTCCCAGAGAAGTAAAGTAAGGCTTGCCCAAGGTCATACAATTAGGGAGTGACAGAGAGGGATTTGAAGCCAGGTCCTTTAAATCCAATTTCAAAGCTGTCTATTGTATCACTAAATAGTGGTTAAATCTAGGGGCAGCTAGGTGGTGCAGTGGATAGTGTACCAGCCCTGGAGTCAGGAGGACCTGAGTTCAGATCTTGCCTCAAACACATAACACTCACTAGGTTTGTGACTCTGGGCAACTCAACCCCAGTTGCCTCACACACACAAAAAACAGTGGTTTAATCTTAAGACAAAATTTCTCTTCTTTTTGGTATAATAGTTTTACAAGTATCTTCTTTCCTGTCTTCATTTTTGTAAATGAGAACACTTTAGAGCTGAGAAGAGTCTTAAAGATCACTGAGCCTAACATTTGTAGATAAGGGAAACTGAGACCCAGAGAAGTTGTTACTTGTTCAGGATTACATAGTAACAGAACTAGGATTAAGCACTAGTCATGCTTACTCCAAAGCCAGTGTTCATTTCTTCCATACCACATGTTTTCTTAGTGAGAAAAATTTATTTCTGATATTTACTGGTGATGAGTGTTTTAATTTCTGTGTTTAGAAATTAGAAATAATTATTCTATAGAAGTCAATATAACACAAAATAGCGTAATTGAAGAGAAAACAACAGAGGCCTGCAAAGGGAACAGGAAGTGGAGGCTTCCCAGCACCTGGGATGATCTGATTATACTCTCAACTCAGTTTGGTTGGGTTTCTTGGCAGCTAATGTAATGCATTGGGTTACATCATTTCATGCAGGCTCACTTTCTGTGACAAATATAATCCTCAGATAAAACTCAAGGGGAACTTTATAATGTAGGCTCTTGGTAAATCATTCTGGGACCAAATTCAGAGGCTCTCTCTGTGTGGTTAAACAAAGTTTGTAGAGGCCAAGTTGGTGTCATTGGTAGAAAGCTAGCTTTGCAGCCAGGAAGATGTGAGTTCAAGTCTTACCTTAACCTAATCAGTAATGATTGTATAGGTAGGTCTTTAAGGCTTTTTATTTGCAGAGAAGATGCTGGCCTGCATTGGTAGAGGGTGGTTCCCTCAAATAATGATATTATGAATTCTTATCTCTGTCCTTCTCTTTAGAAACCATTCTGCTAGCTTAAAGCTTAGGCATAATTTCCATGAATGAGAATAAGGAGGTAAGTAATTGAGAAAACATAATTTTAGGGGTGGCTATGTGGTGCAGTGGATAGAGCACTGGCCCTGAAGTCAGGAGGACCTGAGTTAAAATCCGGCCTCAGACCAAAACACTTGACACTTACTAGCTGTGTGACCCTAGGCAAGTCACTTAACCCCAATTGCCTAAAAAACAAAAAAAGAAATTTTAAGTGATGCTGTCATTAATGTGTGAAGTGATGTGATTATCGTATAGAGGAATTTGATCATAGAGTAGTTTTTCATTCTGATTTGCCCAAGGGTAGCATGAAAAGGACATTGGGTTACAAGTTAGTAGACTTGGAGGTTTGAGGTATGGCTCTGCATTTATCAGTTATATGACCTTGACTTTGAGCAAGTTACTTCCTCTCTCTAAGCCTGGGTTTCCTTATCTGTAAAAAACCCAAAACAAACAAAAAACCAGCAACAATAACAAGTGTTTGAATCTTTGATTTATGTACCTTATGAGATTGTAAGAAAGATAATTTATAAATAATAAGGCACTCCAAAAGTGAGTTATTATTGATTGGATAATGTAGGGGAGTTTTGTGGGGAAAGGGTCAAGTTTAGCAAGTCCTCTGTGTGTATTTTCATGGTGTGTAAAGATAGGACTTTAATCTCCAGAAATGTGAATCCAGCAACTTTTGTAACTGCTTACATTGCTTAGATACCTCTAAGTTACTGTGAACTTCTAAAAGTCAAAACATAAGATTCTAAGCACTGTAACTGCAGAATTTATCAAGATGACTGTGTACACCAGAATTAACAAGGTTTACTAACCAGGGTCACATGTTAGGTTTTCCCTAGATTGTTATTAATAATGCTAAATAATTTTAAATATAAAAGGTTTACTGTTCATTGTGATAATAATAATAATAATAATAATGACTAGCACTTATATGGTGCTTTAAGATTTGCAAAGCACTTTACATGTTATCTCATTTAGTCTGCACAACTACCCTATGAGATTGGTGCTGTTATCTCCATTATACAGATGAGTAAACTGAAGCTGAGAAAGGTTAAATGGCTTGCCCAAGGTCATACAACTAAATAAGCGTCTGAGGCAGGATTCATACGCACTCAGGTCTACACTCCAAGTCCAACATTCTTCTTATATTTAATTCTGACACAGAAGTCCTTCTTATCATGACATGAAGGGATACCTGGGTTCTCTAAGGCTGTGTCAACACAGTGAAAGCTCTGGAGGGTCCTAGCCAGCTAGAAAGGTTTCTTCACTGGGCTTTGGAATGAACAGTGTCTGTCCTCCAAGGTCCGGCTTAGATGAGTTTGAAGGACCTTATCTTCCAGCTACCAGGAACTGATTTTTTTTTCTTTTGGCCAGCTTATGAAATTATTTACTAAAGCATGGAGGAGTTGTGATCTTTTCAGTGGAGAGACAACCCATACTGATGAAATCAAGGCTATTGAAATATTTTTAAGCCAAGAGATAAGGCTTGTTATATAATATACTACTTTATTATAAACATAACAAAGATTTCTGAGGTTGTGCCTACAGCTTGTGTCCACAAAAACCTTGTTTTTTGCTTCTTGATTTCCTTGTCTGAGAATTTCACTGTGATGGAATGCAGAGAGAACTCTGCCAAACTCCAGATGTGATAAATGAATTGCTGCTACACAACCAGCAGAGGGCAGTCACCCACTGCTTTTGTGTACAAAGGTGAATGTGACTATTTGCTAGTAAGTTTTTCCCTAAGCAAAGAAACGAGTCCATATCTGAGCATTTCTAGCAAATTTTTTGCCTCTCCCCCTCTTCTTACTTTGCAATGATGGGACATTTTTGTTTGTGGATAATAACTGAAAATGAAAAGCAGAATAGTCTAATGGAACAATAGCGAGTATTTGATTCTCATTATCTCCACTTTACTGATGAGGAAACTGAGGCTGAGAGAAGCGAAGGTGACTTTCCCAGAGGTTAAGGTCCCACAGCCAGGGACTGTCTGAGAGAAGATTCAAACTCAGGTCTTCCTGATTTAAAGTCCTACATTCTATCCACTGGACCGTCTAGAACTCTAAACAGGGAAGTAACTTGTTTTCCAGTCTGGTTCTGCTATTAACTAGTTGTATGGATGACTTTGGACAAGTCAATTCACTTCCTTTTACTCCAGTTTTGTGGTCTATTAAATATGGTAGATTAACAAAACAATCTGTTAGGTCCCTTAAGGTTTATGAACTTAGAGATGGAATGGACCTCAGAGGTCATTTAGTGAAGAAGTATCAAATTCACAGCCAGGGAGCCTCATGTTGGCCCCCCAAAACTCCTGAATGCTTCCAGAACTGGATTAAAATGTGATTGGGAAATGTTTAACAAAATAAATAAAAATAGAGTACAACACAGATAATAGTAATTTGTGGTTTTCTCAGTCAATATGTGCCCACAATTATCTGTTTTGATTTGAATTTGATACAGTTGATTTTGTCCAAACCTCTAATTTTCCACTGACAAAATTCTTTGATTCTGTATCTTCAACTTAAAAGGAGTTTTGCCCTGCAAACTAAAGCACTAAAAGAGAAACACATTACTAGTTTAAAATATATCGTTGGTCCTCTATAAATGTGTTTTATGATTAATAGAGATGGTAAAACTGCCTTTGCCTATAAATTTTTTGGGGGTACCCAATACAACACTTTTTTTTAAAAGATATTGCTGTATTTAACAGAATGAAAAAATACTCAGAAAGACACAAGCTGGATCCTACCGATAGGGGGCAGCCAGCTGGCACTGTGACTCTGGGCAAATCACTTAACCCTGTTTGCCTCAGTTTTCTCATCTGTAAAATGAGCTGGACAAGAAAATGGAAAATCACTCCAGTCTGTTTGCCAAGAACATTCCAGATGGGATCACAGAGATTTGGACACAACTGAAACTTAACAACAACAACCACAACCCTAGCTCCCCTTAAATTTCCTTAATACTATATAATATGAGAGTTGAGGAAAATGAAACATCACTGTGAGTTCATGAGCTCAGTTCTGAAACCAACCACTGTGGCTCTGGGATTTCCACTGCACTAACTCATAAATCTATTATCATTCAGGCAGAGATCATAAATGACAGAACTCTAGGTTTAGAATTCCCCAGGGCCAAATTATTGAGCCTGGGGGCCTCCAACTCTTGTTCTAGTGGCAGTATACAACATAAAAGATGTTACCATGACTAGGCCGTTAATATTTTTTTTTTGACATTTTAAAACTACTCTGCTCTCTTCTCCAGGGCTCATTGACTATAATTTCCACTGTTTCCGCAAAGCCATCCATGAAGTATTTGAGGTGAGAATGAGAATAGCAAAATCTCGAAAAGTTCAGAGTCAGATGCGGAAGAAAAAAGGAACCACCCCTAATGGGACACCTAGAGTTCTGCTTTGAGATTTTGGTGACAGCCTTTGAGTCAAGGCTAATTGGTGAGACTACTTCTTGGAACTGTACTAGAGGAAGAGGAAAAGAGAAAATTGGACACATGGCTTGGATTTGTTATATAACAATCAGTGCGACACACTTGATCCTTTTTAAAAAATAATAATAATAAAGTAAGCACTTTCAGCAACAAAACAACTTGTATATTAAACAGTGAAGTGAAATCTGTTGTAAGAATGTTCTTAACATAAAATGTACATTTTTTTTCTTTTGGTCCATAGTAAGAAAAATCATTGTCAGAACTGTCAGGTACTGTACAAACTTTGTACTTTTTCGTGCTTTTTCTCATGGAACAGAACTTTGATAAAAATTAGTTTTCTAAGCAGTTTTCCCTACATAATGTCAGTGACATGCATAATATAGTTCATTTGCATATGGCAATCTTAGAATCATCAAATAATGTTGCCTTGGCACAATGCCTGTTTTTCTTATTTTTTAAAAGAATTTATGACCAATTTGGTACCAATTATTGAGTTAAATACTTCCCCCCAATTTGTAGCTGGAGCAGTTTGGAGCACTGTGCTCTATAGCAATAAGAACCCTTCTCATAATTATTAACTAATTGATAAAAGATTGGGCAGCTAAGTGGTACAGTGATTGGAGTACTAGGACTAGAGTCAGAAAGGATCATTTTCCTGAATTCAGATCTGGCCTCAGACACTTACTAACTGTGTGACCCTGGGCAAGTCACTTCACCCACTTTGTCTGAGTTTCTTCATTTATAAAATGAGCTGGAAAAGGAAATGGCAAACCACTCCAGTATCTCAGATGGAGTCATGAAGAGTTGGACATGACTGAAAATGACTGAATAGTAAAAAGAGCCAAGCTTATTCAGAGCCCTGACAAATGCCCCACCCTTTTTCAGATCTTTTTACTATTTTTACCTCAACAGTGATCTCTAAAGTAACTTTATAACTAGAGGATATTCATTTTGTAAACCTGCTTATTGCTGCATTACTGTTTTTATAACACTGGGGACCAGATTTTCAAAGTGGTATCCACAATTTCTGCAAAGAAGGGTGCTTCTAAAACACTGGTATGTGTTTGACCTTTTGCACCTGCCATGTGGAGTTAAAGTGACCTCAGGTATTGGGAATATACCCACCAGAGTGACTGGTGATTGCAGGCTTAAATTAACAAAGGACAATTTTGAAGCTTTGGGTCCCTTAGGAAAGGGTGGGTACAAGGGAGTGTAAGGCTATGGCACATTTAAGAAGTTTGTTCAAGGGCCAATTTCTCATTTTGCCATGTGCTGTCACTGAATGTATCCCTATTCAAAGCACTCCTTAGAGCATGGTCTTTTTCAGTCTATTTATCATCTTCACTTTTCCGTGTTATGTATGACTGGGTGTACCTTTTTTCTGGCATTAAAATGCACCAAGCTTCCCTTCTGGCATTCTCCTTTTAAGGCTGTAAAGCTGTCTTAGAAATGCCTGCAAGGCAGTGAGATATTAGAAAGCGTTAGAAGTAGCAGAAGATATTGGTTCCTGTGAAAATGAGGCATTCCTTTTCATCTTATACCAGGAGAACTGGAAAGAACTATCAACCTCCACAGGCTAAGAAAACTCTAAAGTGATAACCACAGGATATATGAGGGGTGGGTGATCTGGACAAGAATGGAACATTGGAGGAGATTTTCAGTGTCATCAGGTTGTAAAGAGGCTTGTGAAAGTACCTGATTAGGTTCTAGGAGAAATGGTAAGACAAAGTTTGTCTTTCTTGGCTCTCTCCTGCCCCTCAAAAACTGCCACCTGAAAACTAAGGTGTGAGCTGATAAAAATTTTGGTTATGACTCAAAAGGGTCATAAACCTAAGGAGCTTAATAAAAGACACGATGACTGATAAGACTAGTCCAGATGGGTATCTGCCCTTTAGCATGGCATAGAAGATACAATGCTAGACTTGGAGTCAGGAAGTCTCTGATACTGTGTTAACAGTGAACCAGTGGACAAATCATTTAAACACTCTGGGCCTTATTTTCCTCATTTGTAAAATGAAAGGGTTGGACTTGATGATCTTAAGGTCTCTTCCAGTATTAAATCTATGACTCTATAATTCCTCGAACTTATTGGGCTCTTGGGCTAAAGGGAGCTTCTGCCAGGGTTTCCTAAGGAGGCTCTTAATGTGTTTTTGCCTACAGTTTCAATCTACATCTATGTTCGGGTAGCTCTCTGCACAGTGAATAAATAAAAATATGGCATGCTACTTTAAAAAAATCATGGACCTTAGTAATCCTATTCTTCAGATGTTCCTAAAAACTGTTTCCCTCTGAACAAGTCAATTGAGCAAAGAATGAGTTTTTAAATGTGAATTTACTCCGAAGCTAGAGCCATTCTTGCCTCTTTAAATAATAGAGTACACCATTAAAATATACATATTTTACTCACTTTGGCTCTTCCATGCTTATGTAATAGGTATGTTATATATTCATAAATATTTAAATATACATATATGCGTATAGACATGTGTGCCTTAAAAACAAATCACCACAACAGTTTTGAGGAGGGAGACTAAAGCAATATCTGCTGTAGGTCCAATCCCATGGTTGACTGACTGATAGTTCATCTTCGCAGCAATGGAGAATTCACACTAAAAATTTGCATTGGCTGTTTGCTTATGGAGTATGATGAAGTAAGTATATCCAGTGTCAGAGAGGCATTTTAGAGGAGTTAGAGGAGTAAGTTGACATTTCCTATCTCAACATTCATTTTTTATAAAATCTTGAATTTTCTCTCCCCCCAAGGCAGTAAGCAATTTGATATAGATTATATATGTGCAATCATATAAAACTGACATTTTAAGTCTTTAGGCCTATGAATAGAAAACTGGAATTTTGATCATATTGTCAATTTTATTTTTGACAATCAAAAATTGAGTCTGGTGTCTGTGACCATAAACTCAAAGACCAGATACAGCTAAGTACACAGGTTGGTTTTTCATAGTCTTCAGAGACTGAGATAGGCCCCAGAACACACTGCTTTCAGGGCAGGCCATCTTTGACTATAAAGAAAATTAGAACTTATGTGGGGACATCTGAGCAGTATGATCAAAATTGAGGATGACATTCTCCTGATTTGTTTCAGTGATGCATATTATTAGCGCTTTTGGCCAGAGTGTAGAGCATTTTAGTGAGGCATAATTCAAAAGCCAGGATGACACTGATTTAATTACCAAAACACATGTCCTGGGCCCTGGAAGCCCAGAAAAACATTAGAATCATGGTGTTATTTTCAAATATGGAGCCCATGTGAGCTCTGGGTGATTAAAACAATTCTGAAAAAGCTAACCTGTCCTGATAGTTATTAAAGTTAATATATACATTCAACCTATATGAGGCTGACATGATTTTGTAATCAACTGCCATATTCTCAGTTTATAAAGCATAGTTAGTGATAAAATTGCTTGCAAAAATTTTTCCTAGATAGATAAAACCTATTAACAAGTTTATTTCCATTTTTCAAGTTAGATACAATGTGGCATGTTGGTTATTTTCCTGGATGACACTGAAGATGTACAAGAATATTCATATTTGTATTTTACTCGCTAATTGGTAGAACAATTTACCCTAAGTTCTTCCAGAATTACTTGAGGTAGCAAAGAAAGACAACAAAGATTGGATTCCATTCGTGGCCAGATGGCCTTGGAGTTAGAAGGACCTGTGTGGCTTCAAGTCCTGTCCCTGACACCATGCTATCTGTGTGACATGGGGCAAATCATTTAAAGTTTCAGTGCCAAAGGGAAATTGACTAAGATTATTAAGCTACAGAACAGCTATGAATTTATATTGGTGAAGAGAACTTCCAATCTGAGAATTATATGTGCTGATGAATTCACATACTTAGACCACCTCCCCTGCCCCCCCCACAAAAAAAAGTGGAGGGAAAAATTCTGAGTAGGCAAAACTGTGAATATTAGTTCAGGTAGACTTAAAACTAAGTTTTCTGACATCAAAATAATCTCTCCATTGAAAAAGAGGCAGGATTTGCAGATGTCTTTGGAATGATTGATTGATTATGAATGTGTCACTATAGACTTAGATGGATTAAGTAAAATATGTTAAAACTAGATCAAACTCTGAAAAAGCACATAAATTAGTGTGCAAAGCAGAATATCTCAACTAGATTGAACCCTCATACTCTTATTCTTGTTGCAAAAAAATGCACACAAATTAATGTGGAAAACAGAATATTTCAACTAGATTGAATCCTCATACTCTTGTTGCAAAAAATAATAATAAAATTCTCCAGTAATTTAGATTTATGCTAGGGATGTGCCTATTGGGACAACAGCAGAATGAATTAATTTAGTCATATTTAACTAGTTCTTTCCTCCTGCCCCTACTCTTATGTTTCACTATGATCCAAAACTTGCCTGAAAATTGTGTTCCTACAGGGCAACCCTACCCTTGGCTTATTCAATAAGATTCTGCCTTATGATGACACTATACAGAATGTCCTGGAAGTCTTAGTGCAGTTTTAAGCTTTAATGGCACTATAAAACTCTATAAATAAACAGTTCTTCTATTCTTAGCAGCAATTCTTAACCATTTTATTGTCTTGGGTCCCTTTGGCAGTTTGGTGAAGTCTATGGACCACTTGTCAAAATAATGTTTTTAAATGCATAAAATGGAATGCATAGGGTTACAAAAGAAACCAATTATATTGAAATAAAGTTATGGAAATATTTTTAAAACAGGTTCACAGAGTCTGGGTTAAGAACCTCTGTCCTAAGGGTTTTTTGATAGTATCGACATAAAATACATTTTAAGTATAAGGTCCAAATATTTTTATTGGAAAATGTGACCTGAAATATAGTATTTTCAATGAATAATAATGACAAATTTTTTCCTATGAAAAGAAAAACCCAATCCTTAACAATAAACATCATATAGTAAGGCATATATGGTTTTCCCAAAAAAATCTTTCTTATAAACCTTGAAGGTAGGGACCAAAAACATCCTTTAAATTTACCACTGTTTTTATATAGGAGGGTTCATGGACTAGCTTGTTAAATAAAATTATTTTAAATACAAAATCATTATTTTCCTGGATGACTGTGAAGACCTACAAGTATTTTCATATTTATGGAGCAATTGCTTCTTACTAGAACAGTTTACTAGTAGTTCTTCAAGAATTGCGTGAGGTAGAGAAAAAAGTCAACAAAG